CCGCCATCACCGCCGCCTCCGGGACCCTGGGCAGGACCCGCCGCCGCCACAATGCCCCTACCCCGGACCCCGAGCGCATCCAGCGCCTCCGCCGCCTCATGGTGACCAAAGAGGAAGAGGATGGGGCCGCCGGCACGACCCGGCGGGGTCGTCGGAGCCAGAAGGCGCCGCGCAACGTGCTCACGCGAATGCCCTGTGAGTCCGGCGGGCTGGGTTGGGGGCAAGGGCCTGGCCGTCTAGGGGGTGGCGGCCGAGGGGTGTTTGCGGGATGGTTGGGGCTTGGCGAGGGTCTTCCGGTATTTGGGGGAGGGTCTTGGAACAGGTTGCAGAGATAATTCTACGACTGTGGGGACGGTCTGCTTGAGGAACGCAGGTGATGGGGCGTGGAGACGGTCGCTTTGAGTAATGGAAGGTCCATATGACTAATGAGGGTAGAGCTGTAAGGCTACAGACAGAATAAGAAGCAACGGGGAGTCTGCTGCCTGTCGGTCTGCAGAGCTAATGGGGTCCACAGAAGTGTCTGTAAAGCGAGGAGCCTGCAGCGAGGGTCTGGCAGGCATGATGGGGTGCCTGGAGATGGTGGGGCCAGGAAGAGAATTTGGGTGTCATCATGGAGAGGGACTGAAAAAGTGATGAGAGGTTTGGGGGGACTGCAGATAGAAATAATGGTGGGACGTGCAGAAGTGGGTGAGGGAGGGCAGAGGCAGTATTACAAGGAGAATATGATCCGTGGGATCTGGGGTGATCACATGGAGTGTGGAGAGATCTGGTCCAGGTAGCACAAAAGACCTAACTCCATAAACCCTCTACACAGGGTGTCCCCGCCTTCGTGTAAGCAGGAGCCGGGCTGCGAGATCTTGATACACGTATGTTCACATTACTAAATCACAGGTGTTTGGAATGCAGCAGGCATAAAATGCCACTAAAACACAGACACTGTCTTACAGTCACTCTGCCTGGCTGGGTGCAGGTCGATGTCTGTCAGGATCTTATTACCATATGTGCAGGTTATTTTAAGTTCTGAAGGTGGAAATGGCACAAAGGAATTTCTTGGAACCTGCTAATAGATCCTTAGAGTAAGGCTGTAAACAGCAGAGGTTGCTAATGTGTGAGTTGAGTCCTGTTTAAATGGAATAAAAACAGCCCAAGGTTTTATATTTTGTCATCTGGCAAGCACTCTGACATCTGCCAGGTGAACACAATGACCTATTTAGCCACTCAGAGCATCTGTATCTTGATAGCTAAATTGTAACATTATTAAGTCAATGCTTTTGGAATGGAGAGGTGTGCTAGGCAAGGGGATATTTTGGCTCATTCCTAGAAATGTGTTTATTAGAGAGAAGCATCCTGAAAAGCTGAGGTGCTGTCTGGAGGCCTCTTTTGGATGGTTGGCCAGCCATACCAGAGCATCTCTGATCAAGCTAGGGGGGATCCCAGCTTGTTTGCCCAGAAGTAACGCAAGGACAGGGTATGCATGTTATTTTCCTTTTATCTTTTGTCACTCTTAGATAGTTGAAATGCCCTTCAAGGCTCAACTTGTAACATTTATTTGCTGTGTTGCCAAGATTGTCAAGAGAATGAAATATTTTTATGTGGCGGGTATCCTAGAGATGCAGTGGTTAAAGCACTGGACTGCTAACTGAAAGGTGTGCAATTTGAACCCACCAGCCACTCTGCAGAAGAGAAGATGTGGCCGTCTGCTTCCCTAAAGATGACACCCGTGGAAACTGTAGGGGGCAGTTCTACTCTGTTCAGTAGGGTTGCTGTGAGTCAGACTCACCTCAAGGGTAACGACCAGCTTCGTCTATTTTCCCATGATCAAATATAAGCTAGGATATTGGAAAACGTTGACTCCTGGTGTGGCGCTCTGGGTTAATGTGCCGCTTGAACTGCAAGATCGGTGGTTCAAGCTTACCAGTTGCTCCTCGGAAACCCTATACAGGAAACCCTATACAGGGTCACTATGGGTCGGAACTGCCTCAACAGCACTTCACAACAGCATTGGGAAATGTGCCCTTGGCACTGAGCATTTTAATTATGCCAGTGAAACCAGGTAGAATGTGATAGAGACAGGTAGACAAGACAACTGAAGCAAGAAAACTGAAGAATACAAGTAAGGATTAGATTTATTCTAGAAAGTTCTTATAATAGAAAGACTTTATGTCTTGAAGCAAAGAAGGTCATGCATGAAAATAAAAGTAATTATTTTAAAATCAAACTTGTTAAGTGCCATCGAGACCCTGTCATGGATTTCCAAGGCTTTAAATCTTTAAGGGAATAGAAAGCCTCATCCTTCTCCTGCAAAGTGCTGGCAGACTTGAACTGTGCACCTTGTGGTTCAAAGTCCAATATGTAGGGAGTCACCATGCTCCCCAAACCAGACTTATTGAGTTGTAATGTATGTATAGCAAAATTCACCCTTTTAAGTTTTCACAAATATATAGAGTCAGTAAACTACTGCTAAAGTCAATACATAGGACATTTCAGTTACTCCAAAAAGTTAACTCATGCCTCTTTGTAAGTAGAATATTGTAATTTTATTGCAGCATAGTGGTTATGACTCAGGCTGCTAACCTCAGGTCAGCAGTTCAAAACTACCAGCTCTTCCCTGGGAGAAAGAGGAGGCTTTCTGTTCCAGTAAAAATTTTACACCTCGTAAATAGCGTAGTGGTTACGAATCGGGCTGCAAACCTTAAGGTCAGCGGTTCGAAACTACCAGCTGCTCCGCGGGAGAAAGATGAGGCTTTCTACTCCCGTAAAGATTTACACCCTCGGAAACCCTATACAGGGTCGCTATGGGTCGGAACCGACTCGATGGCACTTAACAACAACAACAAACCCTCTACAGGGTCACTATGAGTCATACCCAACTCCACGGCACATAACCACCACTGTTATTACTACTGCTGTTGAGCACTTCTGTGCATTATGTCTCATAGGATCTTTTCTAGAACCAGCACCGCTTTCCACTGAGTCCGTTGCTTCTCATGATGAGAGTACAACTGTGTGTCAGAGTACAACTGTGTGTGTGCTCCACAGAGTTTTCAAATAGCTGGTCTTTCAGAAGTAAATTGCCAGGCCTTTCTTCCGACAGACTTGAATCATCTTTGGGCAGACTTGAACCTTCAACCATTGAGTTAGCAGCTAAGTGCATTAATCATTTGTACTATTCTTAGGTGCTACTTTATAGAAGAGGGATCTGAAGTTCACTGAGTCACATTAGCAGTGTTGCAACTGAGACTTAATCCTGGGTTTATCCAGCTTCAAGGCCTGTGTGCTTTTAATCATTATGCTAGTCTCAGGAGAGTAAAGAAGAGGGTCAATGCTAATGCTCATTGCTAATTAAAATGACCTAAAAGTTGTGTTCAGATCTTGATTTAACGCTCCCATAAAGATTTATAGCCTCGGGAACCCTGGACAGGGTCACTATGAGTCAGAACCAACTCCACGGTACTTAACAACAACAACAACAAATAACATATCCAAAGGAGTTCTGGTAGCATAGTGGATTGCGAGTTGGGCTGCTAACCACATGGTCAGAAGTTTGAGTCTACCTGCCATTACATGGAAGAAAGATGAGGCTTTCTGTTCCTATGAAGATTTACTGCCTCGGAAACCTTATACTGGGTCACTATGAGTTGGAACCGACTTGGTGGCACATAACTACCACAGTTATTACTGTTGGTGAGCACTTCTGTGCGTTATAGATCCAGATATATGTAAATGTGCATGTGTGCAACAGTGCACACCTACCCCCTAACTTATCAAAGGACCATATGACTTTAAAATAGGAGTGTCAGACTTTAAAATATTTGATGAAGTTCAGACCAAGGGTCTCATGTTACTTTCTGTTAAAATGCCATTGTGACATATGACCTATACTTCAAGGCTGATTCCTGTGAAGTAGAGGTATGACCTACTTCCTCTCTCCAGTCTTTTTATCAATTCTGACACCACTGCTTCTTCCTTGGCAATCTCTACTTCACTGCTGAGTCTGATCATTTGTTGCAGTGGCCACACAAAACTCACAGACTCACAGTTACGGGGTTTATTAGGGAAACAACAGGTTACAAGTTGGAATCAGAAATATCCTCAACAAGATGTATTCACACAGTGGCAGCAGCAATGGGTTCAAACACAACAACAATTGTGAGCATGGTGCAGGCCCAGATAGTGTTTCATTCTGTTTTGGAACTGACTAGAAGGCACCTCACAACAACAGCAATAAAGGCATGTTGGGAAAGCCTAGTTAACACAAAGTAATAAATTTAATTCATGCTCTCTAACTCTGAAAAAAGAATTTCTTATAGTAGAAGTTGAATGTTATTGCCCCAGTATTCTTCTCCCACAGCTCATCGGTTAGTTTGTTGGACTACAGTGGCGTGCATGTTTGTTGCTGTGATGCTAGAAGCTATGCCCTTGGTATTGAAAATGCCAGTAGGGTATGCCCATGGTGGACAGGTTCCAGCTGAGATTCTAGACAAAGACAAACTAGGAAGAAAGAGAGACAGATGACTTCTGAATGTTTGTTGTTGTTGTGTGCCATTGAGTCGGTTCCCACCCATAGCGACCCTGTATAGGGTTTCCGAGGAGCAGCTGGGGAGCTTGAACCGCGAACCTTGCAGTTCAAATGACTTTGCAGACCAGCGCATTAACCCACAGCGCCCCACTAGGACCTGAATGTTTAGCCACTGAAAAATCTTATGAATAGCAGTGGAACACTGTCAAATAGCATCAGACTACTGAATGAAACATGATGAAAAGGACCAGAATGTTGTCAGATATGTGCCAAAAGATGAGCCCCTCAGATTTGAAGGCACTCAAAATACAACTGGGGAAGAATTGCCTCCTCTAAGTAGAGTTGACTTTGATGATGTAAATAGCGTAAAGCTTTTGGGACCTTCATTTGCTTATGGGGCACAATTCAAAATGAGGAGACACAGCTGTAAACATCAGTTAATAATCAGAACATGGAATGTACAAAGTATGAATCTAGGAAAATTGGAAGTTGTCAAAGATGAAATGTAGCACAAAGTTCAATATCCTAGGCATTATTGAGCTGAACTGGACTGATACTGGCCATTTTGAATATGATAATCGTATCATTTACTATGCTGGAAATGACAAAAAGAACATTTCAAGATCTGTCTTGAAGTATAATGCTGTCTGTGATGAGTTTATATCAATATGCCTAC